ACTTAGTTGTCCAAGGAAAAAGACACCGTATATCTGTATAGTAAGGCAGATGATTAGTAACACCAGACCTACTCCTTGATCCTTTTAGTTTGATGGAAAGTCTACTAATTTGGAACCTCAAATGAAAAGAACGTTATTTTACACTAACTTTCATTCAGATAACTAATTGACCTTGTAGTTGAAAGATCTAGAGAATAACATGCAAATCAAGTTAAAGCCAAGAAGTTCATATTTGAAGACAAAGGCACTAACTCTTTTCTATCTTGCTCGTGAGTTACCAATGGTAGTTTCTAATAGAGTTTATTGTCCTTGTATAATACGAGAAGGCTATGTACATAGATAAAAAATGATGAGCAGTTTAAATGACCAATCATACTCCTAACTATACATACTTTGTATAGGAATAGTCTTATCGACAAAGAGTTAACATCTTGTTCTTGTCCTAAAATATAAAAATATTTTCATTGATATTTCACTTCTTTCTCAAGTTTGCATATGATTATCATGAGGAAAAATGGAGTCGATTGAAGTTCTGGCTATGGTAATATTGACCTATGAACTATATAATCAAATCAAATTAAATCATTTAGTTGGTTATATATGTTGGACCTTAGTACGTTAAGTAGAGGAATAAAAACATCAATATCATGAAACTCATAACGAAAGGAACATAAAGAGTTAATGGCATTAAGGCTTTGAGCATGTCATACGAAAATATCAATATCATAGTTGAAAACCTAGGTATATTCTCTAGAGCTGCTTTTAAACAAAAGTCACTACCTCTAAATTTATAGGTCTCATAACCTATCACAGTTCCTTTAAGACGAGGTAAAGAAACCATTGCACTCTTGCAGTCTTGCTTATAATAAGGGATCAGAAAGAACCCGCATATACACAGAAGCATAGAGAGGAGCCACATATATTGTTTGCAAGAAGTTGAAGCTAATAATTGGATTATGGATGGAAAAGTAAAGAAGACAATGAGTCAATTGCATGAGGCATAAGCATACAGGAGGAACAACATATATTTAACTCCATTAGCTTCAATTGAATGGGGTCCATAGGGAAAGAAGAGTTTACAGGATTGGGATGAGGTAGCGGGCGGCAACAATGCATGAGGAGAATGGAGTCTTGGTTAGCGGAGAAGGGAGTACGCCGGTGGAAGCTAGACGAAGAGAGAAGAGCTCAATACCTAGCCGCTTGCCTATCGCCTATTGGAGAAGGATACACTTCTTGGCCAGCCGCCATGTTCTCGACGGAGGGGAGAAAACGGGATAATAATAATTGGAGAAGGGGTGCGCAAAAGTTACAATACACCTAATTCCATCCTACCAGACCCATTAAGCATACTTACTCTTTATATATACTAATCTAATAATAATAATCTATTAAAGCGCAAGTTTAAAAGTACTGTTCATTACGAATTTATCGGCAATCCTAGGGTCATAATCGCATGCGGTAAATACATTTCACTTTCCCGTGTGCTAATGCATGTATGCACATTGGGCTGGGCAAGTTTTATTTTTTAACCAAAATGGAGCGTCCAATCTTTTGTTGCAAGGTAAGCAGCACTATTAATACACAAAACATATAGAGGTCCAAACAGAGACTTTTAGTAATTAGGTTTTACATATCATAGCCACCATTTTATAACAATAAAGCAAGTTAAATTCAAAGGTAAGTTAATTTGTACATTGTAGTTTAAGTAAATGGGGTATGTCTATAACTTGATTTTATTATTAGACCATACATTACGGAACATTTTTTTTAGTAATTAGGTTTTACATATCATAGACTCCATTTTATAACAATAAAATCAAGTTAAATTCAAAGGTAAGTTAAAATTTACATAGTTTTTAAGAAAATGTGATGTTTTCTATAACAATTTTGTAAGTTACAAATATATTATGTAAAGCTTACAAAGGGATGCTTATCCCTTATGTCTAAATTAAACAAACCGTATTGTATAAATTTTATGACTAAGACACTACGTAAAACTTATTGAGTGATAGTAATTTCTTATGTATAAATTATAGGGTTAATACCCTAGTTTGGCCTGAAGTTTAGCGTGAGTGACAGTTTTGGCCCCATTTTTCAAATAAGACATTTATGACCTACTTTTGAAATTATTGGACAAATTTGGCCTGAAACTTGTGTTGACCGTTAATATTAACGGTCAAACACTTATTCCATTAGTGACTCATCAAAGAACTACTGACGTGGCTTATACATGGTGTCATGTCATTAAATAAAATATTTCTTAATTTTCTAATTCAATTAATAAAAAAATAAAAATAACCCCAAAACCCCCCAACCTCCTACGGTCCTACCCTTATCTCTTCCTCCCGCCGCCTCATTCCCACTGATTCAACCCCTTCTTCCGTCGAGACCCACCTCTACATCCCCAGACGAGACAAAGAGAAGAGGAAGCTGTCGGTGTTGGTGTACTTCCACGCCGGAGCGTTCAAGGGTAAGACGCCGTCCGGGTGGAACGAGCGGCTGTGGAAGAAGATCTGCGGGGGCGCGGGGCAGGGCTTTTGACTGGGACTGGTTCCTTTTCCTCTTCTTCGTCCTCGACATGCGCTTCGGCGGCGAGGGATTTTCAATGGGCGGCGCCCAAATTGACTCTCTTTTCTTCTTTTTCCTTGTTCCTCCACCGCGGTCGCCGTCCCCTCAGATTCAACTCTGTCGTCGTTAAGATTGATGATTCGGACCCTATTCAGGTTTTGTTCGTCTTCTCCCTCAGCCGAACGAACTGGTGGTTGTTCGTCTTCTCCCTCACACCGTCGCTGCTATAAACCCACCGCCCTTCAACTCTCTCTCCAGCGATCCTCTCTCATTCCCCGATATCTGCTTCCTCCGCACCAGATCTGAGTTGATGGCGGCGATGTCGAGCTTTTTGTGGGCTCGATTGTCGACTAGAGAGAGGGAGGAGGTTGGTGGCGAAGGCGCCGGTAGGCCATCGATCGAGGAGAAGGGACCGCGACGACGATAATCGTTACCGTCGAGACCCGAACACCTCCCTCCTTCTGCTCGCGTCGTCTTCTTTCGATGGTTCGTTACAAAACTCATCCACCTCTGGCGCTGGTCGGGATTGAAATTGGAGGAGCGATTTTGTTGATTTCCCCTCTGTTTGACAGGGGTGAATTACTTCCTTTCTCAATGACGTCGAGGGCATCATCTATCACGGCGAGGGAGTGGGTTTTGGCGATTGGAGGTTTGTCCAAGAGGAGAGTGGAAAAAGTCTTAGGGAAAAAATATTTATATATTTAATTAGTTTTTATTTTTTAATTTAATAAATGATGACGTTTAAGATCCTAGTCAACACCAAATACTGAGTCACTAACGGAAAAATCATTGACCGTCAATTTTGACGGTCAATTTAAAACCCATGCCAAATTTGTCCAATAATTTGGAAAGTAGGCCACAACTGTCTTATTTGAAAAATTGGGCCAAAACTGACATATACGCCAAACTTCGGGCCAAACTAGGGTATTAACCCTAAATTATATACGCCATATTTATCTAAACTAAAATTTCTGAATTATTAACTGAATTGTTGACACACTCATTAATTTGTATTAGCCAAAGATATTGTAAGGTCAGTTATTTTTTACATAACAACTTAATCAATCAAGTTAAATTCAAATGTAAGTTAAGTTTTACATAGTAGTTTGAGTACATGTGATTCTATTACGGAACATTACAGAACATTTACATAATAACATTGTATAACAATTACGTATGTTACAAATATATAATGTAAGGCTTACAGGGAATACTTATTCCATATGTCTCATTTATACAAACTGTATTATATAAAATTTTCATAATAACTAAGAAACTACGTAAAACTTATCGAGTGATAGTAATTTCTTATGTATCAATTGAATACGCAATACTAATTTAAACTAAAATTATCAACTGAACTATTGATCGACTCATCAATTTGTATTGCACAAAGGTTTTATAAGGTCAGTTATTTCTTACATAACAACTCAATCAATTGTGATACATTTCATAACTTAATTCACCTATTATTAACTAAATTATTTTTATTGTTACCTGCAACATTCACAATGTCATCAATTCGCATTATACAAAGATTCCGTAAGATAAAATAATTTTACATAATAGTTTAATGTGAGACTTATCAGTAACTCAAATTTATTACTGGATCACACATTATGGAAAATTTACATAACACCTTTTTATAAAATTTACGTAAATTACAAATACATTATGTAAATCGAAGTATCTTCCCAACTATTTTGTAAATGATTTTATCTCAAAAAAAATCATTAAATGGAATAATAAATTTCTTACCGCCGCGAAGCGCGGGCCAAAAAACTAGTGTGGGTTCATTTTATGATCAAAATCCACCCGACCCACCCAATGCCCACCCCTAATACTTACTCTTTATATATACTAATACTAATAATAACTAATGTATTGTCGAAAGAAGTGAAGGAGATACCGAAATGGCTTGAAGTTGCTTAGACTTGTATATGATAGCTGCCAGAAGAAGTGAAGGAGATACATTATTGGCTTGAAGTTGCTTACACTTGTGTGTTGGGAACAAAATTATATTAGGTAGGAGCACAGGGAAAAGTAAGGCCTCCCAAAATTGTGGGCAACTATCAACCTGGTAACGTCAAGGTATGGAAATGGAATCTCTATTCTGATCTAATCTCTAGGCCTTTCGTCAGGGCAGGGGAGTCCTAATCCTACTTCAGAGCACCACTCCGATAGACCTAAAGATGACCGGTCGCGTTGATGGGTCATTTGATCCATGGCGATGGGAGTCCTAAATAATATATAAAGGCCACCACCACCCAGAACGTTGACTGCCATCTACAAGTACCAAGTGAATTAATAAGAAGCTCCCCCCCACCATTCAAGAATCAAGATATATATAGAAGGCTGGATTGGATTGTCTCTCGAGAATGGATCGTGTTAATCTTGTGTCACTGGCAGTGCTAGTAGTGCTCCTCCAGTTGATGAGCTCCGATTCAGGCGAAGCTGCAGAATCAACGACTGGTGCAGCAGCCAAATGCTCCATCGATCTTGTAAACCTGGCAGTATGTGCGCCTTTGCTGAACGTCAAAGTTGGCGATCCCACAGGCGCAGCGAGTAAGCCTTGTTGTGCAGCGCTGCTGGGCCTGACGGACCTGGAAGCTGCGGTTTGCCTCTGTACGGCCCTCAAAGCGGATCTGCTGGGACTCAACGTCGATGCTCCGTTGGCTCTCAACCTCCTGCTCTCTACTTGTCATAAGAATGCACCACCTGCCTTCCAATGCAAGTAACTATATAATATGAATATCACAGCGCCAACAGTCGTGTCTGTCTGAAGATCGATCGATTCAACTTGAAATATATTTTTATGTTCATGAAATAAAAAAAAGGGATTAATTAAGGGTATTTTATTTTACCCGGCCCCCTTTAAGTTATCAAACGTGGCGTTGCAATTTGTATTCATAATTATTAATCCACTACTTTCGTATTGCTGCTTCTTTCATTTCTGGCGTTGCAATTTGTTATCAAACCCGGCAGGCACCCTTGTTTACTTGTTACCTATGCCCAGCTGCTTCCTCCCTCTCATTTCTGGTCTATAATTTGCTTTTTCCAACCTCCTTTTGCATCAAAAGCCAGACCTCCACCATCACTTTTTTCTTATACTATGATTGATTAAACAAATGGCCCAGCTGCTATTACTAACTTTTTTCTTATGTGCTCACAACCAATAATCCCTTGCCTTTCTCTCCTCTGCTACCTTTTCTTTTCCCTCTTCCTTTGCTCTTGTTCCTCTACCCAAGGTTGGTTGTTAGGTTGGACCCAGCCTTTCCCCTGCAATACCCAGTCTCTATACCAACCTTAAAAAAGCACAACAATGTGCTGTCATAGCCAGCATCCAAAGAGGAAAAAGCACGGGAAACTACAGCAAGAGGCATTTCATGGCTGGTGATCACTCAAGGAAGCGACAGACAAATACAACACAGAAGCAGAGGAACTTCCATCTTTATACATCATCAGGTCATGGTCATCAACTACAGCCACAACCACATGCTTCTTCATTGCTACAACACGTACCAATAATCATAATGTACACCAAAATTACACACTGCAGTATGCACCCACCTCCTCCCCCTACCAACAAAACAACCTGACTACCTGATTAGGGTCTAATACGCCCAACAGAAAGAAAGCGATACCATCACAAAACCAGCCCATACAAAACAGACTACTACAAGCCAAGCCACTTACTTCTATACTCAACCGGATGAGGGCTCCATTTCCATAGGGCAAATGAATCAATGATCCTCACCCAAAATTCACTCCTCACGTACATGATCAAGTACCCACTAACATCCTTCACCATGTGGGAACAGCTAAACCATAATCTATCCCCCTTTGCCAGCTTCCACAATAACATGCTTTACAAGAATAAAACAATCATAATATGGCCCATTTGCCCCAATCCACTCAAGTTATCCATTTGAGTCGGATAATAGAGCAATCACCTCATTCTCTACTAAGTTTGTCTCTACTGCCAGCTCCATAGGAGTTTTACCGTCCCCATTTACAGCCTGAGGATCAGCCCCCCTACAAAAAGATCATTCAGTATTCATCAGCCATGCCATTCAAGATCCAAGTGCTCCAATGCAGGTTGTGCTTCCATATATAGGGTCAACAATCGGACTTTACCTTGCTAGTAGTAATTTTGCAAAAGCTGCTCTTCTCCTGGTAACACAGCGATGGAGCGGCGTCCGACCTTTTGAATCGGTTGAATTTACATTTGCCCCATACTGTAGTAAAAGCTCGAGCATGCCGATGTCAGCGGTCTCACAAGCCAGGTGAAGCAATGTGCAACCATCTAAATCATCATCCACTACTATCTGGCCTCCTTCATTTGTTCCAACCGAGTTCACCGAGGCCGTTGAGCAACCAGAGCAGTGATTGACACCTGTTTGCTCTTGCAATAGCATTGCTTTAGCGAGCGTTAGAGAAGGGCTGAATGTGGCTTGGTCAAAGACCATATTGATGTCCACTTCGTTATTAATCATGAGACGGTATAAAGCCTTTTTGTCGTTAGCACGAACCGCTTCCCACATCTGCTGATGAAGATACTGGTTCTCCCGCGGCTTCCGAACAAAAAGCTTTTCCGCGTACTATAAACACAGGAAACCAAAATCAGACATGGCAAGTCTTAATCATATGCGATATCCACTCAACTGCAAAAGAATAAAGAACACTACAGCAATATTAATAGCAACAGTATATGTAACATACAGGGCAAATTTTAAGTATTGCAAATCAAGTTGCGGAACTATGTACCTTTGCATGGATGAACTTCTCCTTCACGGGTATAGAATCAGCAGCACTGGGTTTCCCAAGGAAAAGCAGTTGTGGTTTTGTAGATTTGTATGAGCTTCACCAGAAGATAAAATACAGGGGGGATGTAAGCAAGCACTCATAGAAAACAAACAATATATATAGTGGCAGGATAAAAGGAATCTCTACATGGATCAGAGAAAAGGATTACCCTGAAGAAATGACATCAGCTTGGAAGCAACTTCTTGATTGCAATAGCTCCTCCCAAACAGAGTTAGCAAAGGCATTTCCTAGAGACTGAAACAAACCTAAAACAGAAGGTTCCCAGACTTTAACATCCAGTGTAAGAGACCTCACCTGCAACACAAGTCCAAATGACAAAGAAGACGGTAATTAGTACACAAGAAGCACTTAAAATTCAAAAGTAGGACAAACTATGCAGTTGATCAGGTAATCGAATGGTAGGCCTATCGAGAATCACCGAATAGAATAATAACTGATTCACTTTCTTCACTAATGGTTTGTAAAGCTTAGATCCTGTAGTTGCATAAACTATTGTATTTTGTGATGCATTTAAAGATGCAAGTAAGCTCCAGATGGTGAAAACTCTGAAATGCCAGATTGGTGAAAATAGATGAACATACCTTTGATATGTGCACACCAAGGTTTCGATGAACACCTGAACACTCGATACAAACAAGGATACCAAGATTTAGGGATGCCCAATCTGGTTCCGGGGCACCACAATCAGCACACTTATCATTTCCACAGACTCTTCGTAACAGATCAATTGGCTTCTCAACAGACACTCTTTGCTGTTGTTGTGAACTTCTCAGCTGTCTGTCAAAATGTGCACTGGAATAGCTTCTCTCGCATGCGTACTCATCAACGCCAGGGTGGTCAAAATCGGTACTTTCAAATGAACTGCTCTCGCTTGCTGAACGATGATGACTACTTCCCATCGGACTGCCAGGAAGACCCTGAAATGCAACACACGTACAATCATAAAATGCACACAATATAACTGAAAATAATTTGATCATGAAACATTATCAATCATTACCCTCTCAGGAGCTTGAGAGCTAAGCAGTGATGCAATAACTCCTGTTATCTTCTCAATCCAATCCATTTGATCCAATGCACTCTCTGCCTGCACTGACAGGAACACTAGACATTGTTAGGGATCTGTATGGTTAAACACCACAATCACCCTCACCTCAACATGCAGAAAATAACCACTGTGCAGACATAAACAAGCATACATATAAATTAAAAACTTGCAGACATAAACCTTGGATTATAGATTATTTAATAATGTATCCCCCAGCATCATGGTGCACTAGTCTCAGAAAGACTTTATCATAAGTGATACCTGCAAAGTATAGTTCTTTGTTGGCGATATGATCCTAAAACAAAATCGCAGATCCGACTGGTCGGCATCAACTTTAATTGTCGATGTAAGAAGGTTCACAGTATGATGAGCAACCGATTTCTCATCGTGTACTCCTCCATGATGGTGAGATGAAAGCCACCGACTCAATAGTCCAGATCCAAGCTCAGAGCTATTTCTCTGACCAGTAAGCTGACTTCCCGAACCCTGAAATATATTGTGATGCTGTTAAGGATTGACTGTTGCGTGAGATATCATGAACAGAACTCGGGACAATCTGTTGATTTTGTAATGCTTTCACCTCTTACTAAAGCACTTACAGAAGGTTTACTGCACTGTTTGCGATAGTAATACAACATGCCTCGGCTATCAAGAACAAAAAACCTTCTTTTCCAGTCTCCTCTTAGGTTTGACGATCGTTTTGATAGATAACCTTGTCTGATGGTTTGTACCTGAAATTTTGCTTTGTAGCTCAGAAGAAGATACAGAACGAAGGCAAACCAACCCAAGTAAGATAGGATATTCTGTACCTTTCCCCTGGCAGCAGATTGCATAACTGCCTCTATCATTTTATGCGAACTTCTACCAATAGCTTGGATACCATCACCATTGGGGGATCCATTAGAACCGTTAGAAGACGATCTACTCTCACGATCCACCTGCCTCTTGTAGTCTTGCATCCTTTCATTCAGTGCAGCCTGTTCGTAATTGGATCTCTCTCTTGATTGTTGTGCATAAGTTAAAACCTGCAGATAACAAGAGGTATCATATTCTGATTACTCCAAATAGAGAACCTGAAAACACAACATTTACACTTGCAACAACTTATTCTGATAATCCATCTCCCTACATATCGTGTTTGGTCTAGTGTAAATATCATAAGAACTGGTTATCACATGTCCGATAACTGAAGAAACTAAACCAATAGTAGATGTTCCAAGATCTAGATAATTTTCCCAATTGAGGCTGCTAACAAACTAACAGTGCTGGTTGCTTCAGATATTAGTTTACCCACAGGTCTGTAACCTGTAACAACTGTAATTTATATTCTCACCCATTCAAGATTCCCAAGTTATGTTTCTGTATTCCCCACTCATCTCTAGCAGATACCACAGATATAAATATAGCACTAACAAGTAAAAGTTCCATCATCCTTGCCATTCAAGCCCTACTCACGTAATCAATGTCTAAGCCACAATATAAATGCAGAACTTGTACATTCATTCACAAAGTAAACCCTCCATGGCTTCCTCATATTCTATACTCCCAATCACAGTCTCGCATAAGAAAAAGATTGATTGACCAAATAAGCATTTCGGCAAATGACAACCAGTAAGAAGTAGCATTAGCTGAGATGTAGAACAAATAGACTGGCAATAAAAACAACAGCAGCATAATGACAAACCTGGTTTATATATGGCTCCATTTGGTGCAATAATTCATAACCCTACACATAATAACTTTAGTCATTGGCCTTTGCTTAAACGAGAAAAAAACTACAAAAACAATAACACAGAATCTACGAACCTGTTTGAAGTAGCGAAGATGCGCATCCATCGTGCCACTGACAGCTTCCAAAAATTCAAATCTCTTTTTCGCTTCAACATTAGAAAGGGTTGTTACCTAGACAGAGTAGGAGCAATTAAGTAAAGTCGTGTACCGAAGAGGACATGTAAGCTCAAACAAAAATATTACTACGGATAATTAGCGACACACCATCTGACTTGGTAGAAATACTTACAAGATTAAAGCGAGCTTTCTCGAAGGCAGACCTAGCATTATAGAGCTCCTGGCATAAATACCATGCCACATTAGCATAAAAGATAGAAAAGATAGTTCATCATAGTCAACAGAATTTTGAGAAAAGAGCAAAGAGATTACTATACCTCCTCCAAGACACTGGCTACATCAGACTTTGTGCCTTTCCTCAGTGCCAGAAACTTCTCTCGTGCCTAGAGAGAACATTAAAATTTGGGAATTGACAAAATACTAATGGAAAATGAACATTATAACCAACTGGCTGAAAATCCATACCCCCGCCCAGTTCTAAGTCCAAATATACTGTGCAACATTTCATGGAGAGAAAGTGTTGTAATAAATGTACATATTAGTACTTGAGTTTCCAGCTTATACAACGGAAATATTCATACTTTGGGAATCAAACAAGGCATCTTCGAAGTTATTCTGCTTATTTCGGATGACTGAATAATTTCTGAAGTCCTCGCAGTTATAGGCTACATGAACTGCAAAGGTATACTAATGCTTCTCCCACCAGCATAGAGGACTTCAATAACCAAGACAATGATGCAGAATGATGACTGATTATCCACATGCAGCTGAAAATTGCAAGCCCACTTCTAATAATAAAACATCCCTCCATTTTGTCTATGAGCACGGCAAAATCCATAAGGATTGTGATAGAAAAGACACACCTGATCATAGATAAGACTCGCCTTGTCAAAGCGCTTCCTCGCTTCCTGCAACAAGACAAAGACAGCAAGTTAAGCATTAAGCAGATATGATACAGCATCTATATACAATAAATGTCATCCTCGATAATGTTCTCTCATAAGAATCACACTGACTTCAAAGAAAGTTTGTCAAGTTTTTGTACCTTCACCTCATGCAAATCGATATTCACAAACTGTTGTAGTCTGTCATTTAGCATGTGCTCAACCTGGAAAACGAACCAGAGGGAAATAGGCTCAGTTCAGATGACAACAGATCAAACAACAGCACACTGTCAAAGATAACACTCCCTTGATAAGAATAAATTGTCGGACTTACCATTCTATTTTGGAGAAACAAAATTATAAAAAACAATCATAACCAACATGCTTAAGCTTAGCGCCAGCATATCTAAGAAATGAAAATCTATAGATCAATAGCAGACTTCACAGAACACTAAAATAAGGATAGCCAAACAAAATGCTGACCCAACCAATGGGAAATCAGGAATTTTACCTGTGACCTAAGTACTTCCTTGTATGTGCCAATTTCTCTCAATGCTATGGTAAACTTGGTCATAACAGGGCCTGCATGAACAACCAAAGATCTTTGAGCCGAGGCAAAACTTCTATCACATTACACCCATATCGTTAACAATTTAAGTGACAAAGATTGTGATCCTCGGACTCATTTATTGACCAAGAACCTCGGACTCATTTAAGAAAATGAAACGTAAGATAAACACAGTTTACAGAAGACCAACGACGAATGCTAAAAAACCACAAATGTCTAGCGACTATAAGAGTAACGAAGTCAAATTGAATTACCTCCGAAAGCCACACTAATGGGATCATTGTGCCCTCCACCAAAACTTTCCAGTGCACTAGCAAAAGCAATGTCTCCATCATATCCCTCCCCAAGTCCTTCACTGGCAATGAGAGATCAAAGACAAGTCCTCAAAGAACACATCGTTTACAGATATCATAGTTCACAAAGGAAGGCAGGCAGAGAAATTGGGATAGAATGGGGGTAGTTTATTCATCAAGAGGTAGAAACACAATTTCCCCATTCAAAGCACGTACTACGCAAATTGACTCAACTGAACCATCTTCAAGAGTCTAGTTCGAAGCATTCTAAAACAAATACAGGGCCTGACTGAGTTCATTTTTCTATTGCCCTGTGGATAAAAGGAATAGGATCAATAACAGAATGAAAAGGGCATACGTGTATTTTCGACATCCTTTGTAGAACTTCAAGCATCGTTCCCTCAATGACTCGGCACTATCCTCCAAGGATAAGATCTGTTTCACCATAGAAAGAACAGAACTGAGAATCAAACAATAGGTAGTAAACACTATCAAAGTAGGAAACATGCAATTGACTGAACCCTACCACACACACCAAAAGGGTAGACGATAACAACTACAGAATTAGGAAAGAGGAGCGAGCTGGGGAGGTAAGCAACAGGGGACTGACACCCACAGTATCATCAAAGTCAGGGAAGTAAAAGCAGTTGCAGGGCATGGAGAAAGAGAGCTACGAAAGGAGAGTGAGTCGGCATTCTTAGACAAATATTAGCCGGTGAAATTCTCCAAGTCATTACAAGCCCAAGAACTTCAATAACTGGAGAACGAACTAGTTAGTTTTCAGTTTAGCTGTCCTTGGTGGAGAGTGGATGAAAATTGCCCATCAAATTGGCACAAAAACAAAAGGAAATAGCGGTGAATGAGCTATTTTTTCGCCGGTGACATAAAGGCCAGTTCCAAAACCATTAGTTGCACAAAGAGCTAAGAATCAATAATTGCATTAGCTCTTTAACAGGTCGCGGAAGTTAAGCCAATCCATGAAGGATGGTTACCCCCTAAAGGAAGGAAGGAAGGAAAAGAGGGAGAAAAAAAAAAAAAACATGTGGAAAGGACAAGAGAGGAAAGGAACAGGAAATCAAAATCCCGGGTTCCCGAAAACACAAAGAATCAGCTGGTTGGAAAATGAAGGAACAGAAATCGGAGGGGGAAGCTTTGAAATCAAAAGTTGAGCGCAAGGTAGGGTTCCTAAACCAAATGCCAAAACCCAAAAAGAGACAAAGCGGAAAGAAACAAACCTGCTTGCGGAACATAGGAGAGTCATCGAGCTTGGCGAAATGCATATCGACGGGGACGGAGTTTGACGATCTGCCGGCCTAGTTGGTAGATACGGAGGAGCAGTAACAATCATCAATCACCAGCAACGGTCGATCTCGGAAGTTTTGCTTAATTACGATGACAGGCCATAGTCACAACAGTAGCCACAGTACAGGGGAAGCGCGGGATGGGAAATAAGCTTCGATCCGCGTTGGCGATGGATTCTTCCGGTGGTGTATCTGCACTGCAAGTAATTGACTGGGATTTAGGAGGGAGGGGGGGAATTGAAGGGACTGGAAAGGGAAGGGAAGGCCAAAACGTGAGAGAAACCCTAGAAAGAAAGTGATAATGAGAAGGGAGTTTAGCTCGGTCAGCAGTAGTAGAGTGTAGTGTAGAGAAAGGGAGAGAGTGGTCCCGGAGTCTGGGGGATAGCAAAGCGTGCCTCTGAAATCCGACGATGATTGCGGTGGTGGCGAGGCGAGTGAGTGAGTGAGTGAAAAATACTGAATCCTGAATAATAGTGAGGCGAGGCGAGGCGAGGCAAGGCGAGGGAGAAGGAGGGTCTCAGCCTTTGGGAGCGGAGGGAGGTGGAGGTGCAGCAGAGGGTCGGTGGCAACTGGTAACGCCCCGCTCTCTCTCTCTCTCTCTCTCTCTCTGCGACTGCGTCCTTCCTTTTTCACCTTTACGTTTTTCTGTTTTACCACACGGCACGGCGGAGGAGTAGAAGGAGATTATTGTGATTGTGTTGTGCCATTGCCACCGTACTAAAGATGCCTTCGGCTTTTCCTTTACGTTTTTTTTTCTTTCTTTCTGTTGTCGTCGTGGGGTCCGCACCAATTTTCCCTCCACTTCCTCCCTGATCCCTCCCGCTAAATATAAACTATTAATTACGATTTTTTTTGTATAATTACGAGAAAAAAAAATTAAGCTAAAAGGGGAATGTAAAAATACAAGACAGGAGTGGAGTGAGATGGGCCTGCGGCCCAGAGCGAAGGTTAGAGACTTAGGGGGGCACAAAATCCTCTTATATCCGTCACATACTGCTTCATTTCATAGCTGACTCGATACACATATTATTATTACCCATGCCGACGTGACACATGTAGCAGTACATGTTTACCACTTTCCTAATAATTTAAACTGCTACTGCTACTGGTACTACAAATGAAACAGAAAAGCTGACTGGCAACACATGACGATAGTAGAGAGCGATGGTGAAGACTAGAGGGCTGCTTGCTTTGCTACTGCTAGTGGTGGTGCATTTGTTTGTGGTGGGCACTCAGCAACTCACATCACCCGCACCAACCCCTGTCCCAGCCCACCCTTTACTTATATTCAAAAAGTTACTAAGCAAAGCAAAATGATCAAACACACACAGCATCGTTAGTTTTTTAATTAATTAATTAGTCACAAAGTATACAACAACTAAAGCATCAAAAAAGGATTTAGTAAAGAACAAAAAAATAAGAAAAGGGAAATGGAGAAAACGAGGAAGCTGGGGCCGGCAGTCAGACAGCCGGACAGACAGACAGAGACAGGGACACCACCTCATTTCTCAATATTAATTTATTTATTTAGTATAGTAAAGCTAAAGTAAAACAACCGCGCAAACATTGATAAGCAAAATCCAGAACAGCAAAAAAGGAAGAGCCAAATAACGATGACGGAGCTGTTGCTTTGCTCCGTTCCTTTCCATTCCATTCCCCACTGTCCTTTGACTTCGTACAAAATCGCTTCTTCGTTTCTTACAAATCTCCCAACTCCCCACATCATGTTTTACTTACTGGCTGCGCCAAACACGTATTTGTCTCCCCTTTCCTTCCTGGGCTTCTGCTTTGCTCCTAAACTGATATCCCAGAATAACTCACTAGAATGCTCTGCCCCTTTGCACCGCTTAAGCTGATCAGCCCAACTCTCTACAACTCGAACTTAAGCCCAGTAAGACTGTGTCCACTGTCCAGGCCAAGCCCAATCTTGGCCACTCAGCTTGTACCAAAACCAAAAGGATTATTCAAAACCTATCACTATATAAACCCACCACACTTGGCCAGGGATGAAACAAAATCCAAACCCACAGGTACCCACCCCGACCCAACCCGGTCAACGCGGGTAAAACTCGTGTTGATAGATTTTGGGTTTAAACTCATTCACTATTCACCAGGTTGGGTTGGGTTTGGGTTTAGGTAAACCCGCCCCATGGGTACCCGCCCACATCCATATAATTAATTTTCTCGGTATATTTAATATTCTAAACAACCAATCTTATTTATGTTTGTGGAGACATGTCTAATTTTTTCTTTCTAATTGTGTAGAATGAAGTTGATGTTACTGAGTGGAGAGTGAAAAAACTTAATTGACAAGGAGAAAGAAGTTTTCAATTAATCATATTATTTATGGATAATTTATGATTTGCTTCAATTGTCTTGTGTTTTCTAGATTGGTGTAGAACAATTTGTATAGTTAATTTGTGATTTGCTTGAATTTTCTAGAATGGTGTTTTATATATGGATAATTTGTATTGAGAGATTGATATTTGACTTTAATTTTGACAGGAACTTGTTATTGTAAATTTTTACGACAAAACCCCGTGGGTACCCAACGGGTTAGGATGGGTTTGAGTTTTTCAAACACAGTGGGTTTAACCTCGGGTTTTTTTCACGAATAAACCCATGTGTTTGGGTTTGGCAAAACCCGACCCAACCCGACCCATTGCCATCCCTACACTTGGCTAACAAGTGACTAGATCTCAATAGGATGGCAACAAAACCCGAACCCGCGAGTACCTAACTCGGTCAACGCGAGTTTTGGGCCGGCTTCAGGTTTAAACTCGTCACTATTTATCAGGTTGGGTTTGGGTTTAGTTAAACCCGCCCCATGGGTATCCGGCTACACCCATATAATCAATTTTTTGAATGGCTAAACATCGCCCTAGTTTTACTATTATCGCCCTAAAATAAAACATATAATTACCAAATTGACCTTAATTAACTAATAGAATTTCTTCCGGCGTGGCCCTACTACGTGCACTCCAAGAACCGCACCCTTGACACCGAAAACAGAAATCACTTCGACGCCGACCGGTCCAAACACCCATCCTCCATCCCGCCGCCGTTGGACTGGTCTATTAGCGGAGAAGAACTAGGTCAGTGAAATCGATTGAGAATGGAATGGTGAGGTTGATGGTGGAAGCCATAGTCATCGACACCCATTGTACAAACTCCAAACTCTCAATCAATTAGCATCTTACATGTCAATTCATCCTCAGAAATATTAATCGACCTCTTCAGTTCTGCAGAAAGTGGAAGCCATCAAATTAGAAACAGGGAAAACCCAAGTTTTAGCTCATTTGGACCATCAATCACTCAACCACGCAGTCAAACCTCATTCAAACATGCCAAATTATCCATTTGCAAGTCTACAATCAAAAAGGGCGTTCCACAATTGTTAAAATAAACCCTCAATTTGATTCAGGGTTATTTATAGTCTACAAATAGACTACGGATCAAACGATCACAATTGATAACATGAACCCTCCGCTGATTACTATGGATGGAATTGACGTCATTTCATTGACCAGAAAAGAGTATATCTGGCTTCTGTATTTCTAATGGTGTTCTGCTTGGAGTCCGGCGAAAAGAGCGACTTTTGCTCAGAGGACTGTAAGTTGGGAACTCCAAAGTTTATTTGTTTCAACCATTCAGTCTATGTCAATCACCTCTCTGATTCTTGTTCCGGAACGAACACCCAAATCATGGAGTCCCATTCACCTTCTCTCGTCGACGGATTCAGAACTCTTTCGTTTCAACCTCGTCTAAGAAAAAAAAGATATTGAAGAGTGAAGAGCCAAAAGACGCAGTAAAACTAGGGCGATGAACAACCAAAATTTTCAAAAATAAAAAAAAGATAAAGAGGTCATTTCTACTTTCAAGTTAGGGCGATTACTATAGAGATAGGGAGAGAATTAGCAATCCCCTTCATTTCCCCTGTATATTTAATATTCTACACAACTAATCTTCTTTATATTTGTGGAGACATGTCTAATTTTTTCTTTCTAATTGTGTAGAATGAAGTTGATATTATCGAGTGGAGAGTGAAGAAGCTTAATTGACAAGGAGGAAGAAGCTTTCAATTAATCATGTTGTTTATGGATAATTTGTGATTTGCTTAAATTTTCCTAAGTTTTCTAGATGAGTGTTGAACAATTTGTATGGTTAATTTGTGATTTACTTGAATTTTCTAGAATGGTGTTTTATTTATGGATAATTTGCATTGAGAGATTGATATTTGACTTTTATTTTGATAGGAACTTGTTATTGTAAATTTTTTTACAGCAAAAACCCATGGGTACCCATGAACCCGCGGATACCCAGCGGGTTGGGTTTGAGTTTTTCAAACCCAGTGGGTTATACCCAAGGTTTTTTCACGGATAAACCGATGGGTTTGTTGTTCGGAAAATTCTCAGGAACGTTGTGGAGTGGCTGGTTGCAGGTGGCAAAGTGGACAAAGAGCAGGGAAAGAGGAGCTTAGAGGAGTTTCTGAGCAGGCTCTAAGCGCTATGGATTGGGTTCTGCTCTCTCCCCCTTTCTCTGGTTGCCGTGAGGATCTTTTTCTGTTGGGGCTTTGGCCTTTGGCTTGTGTTCTTCTCCTGCGAGGGCCTGGTGTGCTGCTCATGTGAACTGTATCTTCTTGGCCAGAGGCTTGTCTCTTCTGTTGGTGTTAACTTTGCAGGGGGTTTTGGGTGATGCCCTTTTGTTCGGGTGCCTTATGGGCGGTGTATTTCCGGCGGTTGGCTGCAGAGGAGGTCTGGCCCTCCTAGCAGTTCTCTTCCTCTTCGTTTCTTTTCCTCTCTTTTCTTTCTTTCTTTCTTTCTTTCCGTTTTAGTTCGTTGGTTTCGGTTTTTAGGGGATCAAGCCTTTTGATCCGTCCTCTTAATTTTCTTTTGGAGCAGCTTTGTTTTCCTGCTCTGCTGTACTTTTGGTTTTTAGTTGGCTTTTAATAAATTTCACCTTCATAAAAAATAAAAAAAAAACCGATGGGTTTGGGTTTGCCAAAACCCGACCCAACCTGACCCATTGTCATCTCTAGATCTCAAATAAACTGAGTTGCCTACTTTGGGAAACGGTGGGGTCTGGTCCAGACCGGAACATATATACAGTCTACGGTCCAGACCAAAAGTGAAACACCCTAACCCGGCCGGGTACTACTTTTACTAAAATGCCCTTGATAAATAAAATGCTCAAATCTTAAATTGCAGCGGAAAAAAATTTTCATAAATAAAATACTGAAAACACACACTTGTAGTTCAGAGCAAAGCCCTATCACGTAGGCGAATTAATCTCAAACTTTAAATCTCAATCTGTTCTCCAGTCTATACTCATAATCATAAAAGGTAAATAACTAGGTAGTCTCTGTCGTTGCTGCTACTGAAAATCTTAACTATGTATCCTCCGTGACGCTTGCACTGCCCTCCTCTAGCTGATTGCTCTCGAACTTTTCCTCTCGAACTCGCTGCTCTCTAACTGCTCCTCTAGCTAGCTGCTACCGATCTGGTTCTCGCTCATTCCCTTACTAAGGCCTGGTGAGTGAGTCGGGGTCAGTCTACGCCCTTACATTTTAAAATTTCTAATAATTTTGCACTACTTCTCAAACACTTAAACTCAAACGAGGGAAGTTGTTTGTACTTCCATTCTTAAAAAGCTTAACTCTTAAAACTATATTCTTAAACCTCAAATCTTAACTTAAATATTTGACTGACACTGGGATCCCTCACTAGCT